GACCACAGGTTCTCAATGGGGTTCAGATCAGGTGAACAAGGAGGCCATGTCATTAGATTTTCTTCTTTTATACCCTTTCTTGCCAGCCACGCTGTGGAGTACTTGGACGCGTGTGATGGAGCATTGTCCTGCATGAAAATCATGTTTTTCTTGAAGGATGCAGACTTCTTCCTGTACCACTGCTTGAAGAAGGTGTCTTCCAGGAACTGGCAGTAGGACTGGGAGTTGAGCTTGACTCCATCCTCAACCCGAAAAGGCCCCACAAGCTCATCTTTGATGATACCAGCCCAAACCAGTACTCCACCTCCACCTTGCTGGCGTCTGAGTCGGACTGGAGCTCTCTGCCCTTTACCAATCCAGCCACGGGCCCATCCATCTGGCCCATCAAGACTCACTCTCATTTCATCAGTCCATAAAACCTTAGAAAAATCAGTCTTGAGATATTTCTTGGCCCAGTCTTGACGTTTCAGCTTGTGTGTCTTGTTCAGTGGTGGTCGTCTTTCAGCCTTTCTTACCTTGGCCATGTCTCTGAGTATTGCACACCTTGTGCTTTTGGGCACTCCAGTGATGTTGCAGCTCTGAAATATGGCCAAACTGGTGGCAAGTGGCATCGTGGCAGCTGCACGCTTGACTTTTCTCAGTTCATGGGCAGTTATTTTGCGCCTTGGTTTTTCCACACGCTTCTTGCGACCCTGTTGACTATTTTGAATGAAACGCTTGATTGTTCGATGATCACGCTTCAGAAGCTTTGCAATTTTAAGAGTGCTGCATCCCTCTGCAAGATATCTCACTATTTTTGACTTTTCTGAGCCTGTCAAGTCCTTCTTTTGACCCATTTTGCCAAAGGAAAGGAAGTTGCCTAATAATTATGCACACCTGATATAGGGTGTTGATGTCATTAGACCACACCCCTTCTCATTACAGAGATGCACATCACCTAATATGCTTAATTGGTAGTAGGCTTTGGAGCCTATACAGCTTGGTGTAAGACAACATGCATAAAGAGGATGATGTGGTCAAAATACTCATTTGCCTAATAATTCTGCACTCCCTGTATTATTCTTACATTATCATCAGAATTATCCATTTGAATATTCGGTATAATATTAAAGTCAGTATGAACTTATAGTTCAGTGACTTTTACTGAGGCTATTAATGTTTAGTAAAAAAAAAAAAAAAAAATCTCTTTCCTTTTTTCCCTTTACCTACGCATGTGCCTTTCATTTCTGTGAAATAATATATTTATTAAACATTAGTGATGTCCCGAACTGTTCGCCGAAAGGTTCCTGCAGATGTGATTAGCACGTCTGAATATACCTCCTTTGGTTTCTCTGCCGCAGGCCTCCCATGGATATTCCGTAAGGTAGATCATGATATGATCTAAGAGGGGAATTGTAGATGCGAATATCCATTATGCTTAATATCCTAGCTGTTCATATAAGGGTTAATTTGAACCAAGAATAAATTTGGAATTGTATCTCCAATTCTCGGAAATAAAACTTATCTAAAACTTATCTATTTACGGGAAATGTTATTGGAACATGATTTTGTTATGTTCCTGGAAAAGGATATTTACATGACATGACATGACATGATAAGGATTCTGGAATGTCCTTGTTAATTGTCCAAGATTTCGGTATTTGTAATCATCTGGGTTTTATCCAATAAGCATACATTATGTAACATCGAATTATAACTAAAAACAACTTGTGAAAAATAAACTATGTCACAATGCTCAATGACCCCCACCGACATGAAAATGGGGTATAAATATAACTGACGTATCAATTAAAATTAGAATTGGTTATTGAACACGTCTCTGCTATTCATTTCCAATTTCCAGAGCTCTGTATGAGTTGGCAAATATCCATCATCCACAAAGGGCCCGGGCTGATTTTATCCCCAACAGTTAACACATTCACATAAAGTCTGGTCCATAGTCCAAAGGCAAGAGGCGGGCAAGCAGCCCCCTCCAAGGACACGTGGCGAGGCCGGTTTCGTCACATTTCTCCCCTTTACCATCCAGACTAACAGGGTATCTGACCTCCTGCCGGTCAGTGCCCTGGTTAGTCCAGCAACCCACCCACGAAGTACAAACAGCAATACAGCCCACCCACAATAACTGGTTACTACACCTGGATAAAATAGCAACTTGTCCATGTCCAGGTGCCTCACCACGGCTGTGCGGGGGGCTGGTAGACTGCCTTGGTGGGTTGCTGAGTGGGCAGAGACCAGCGGTACTCTGCCCGGGTGCCAGCGCTACCACTGAAGTAGCCTGGTTGGAGCCTGGTTGTGGGAGGGGGAGACCGACTGTCTCCCCTCTGGATACACTGCTCTGTGGCTGGGGGACAGGACCGACCGTCCCTACCCCTGGTGCTGCAAGTGCAGAGACTACGGTCCCATCTGCATAGTTGTGGGGCTGAACATCTCCCCTTGGTGGGTTAGGCTGCCGCTGGAGAGAGGGTGTAACAAGCTCCTCTCTCTGAACTGTAGACTGCCGCTGGGGAGAGGGGGTAACCTGCTCCTCTCCCTGACACTCTCTTTGCTGGTGGAGAGGGGGACCAACTGTCTCCCCTTTCAATATTTTGTCCTGCGGCTGGGGTGCAAGACAGACGGTCTCTGCTTCCTGGGGTACACACTGCCGCTGGGGAGGAAGGACCGCACCTTCAGCTCCCTGGGGTACACACTGCCGCTGGGGAGGAAGGACGACACCTTCGGCTACCTGGGATACACACTGCCACTGGGGAGGAAGGACGACACCTTCAGCTCCCTGGGGTACACACTGCCGCTGGGGAGGAAGGACGGCACCTTCAGCTCCCTGGGATACACACTGCCGCTGGGGAGGAAGGACAGCACCTTCTGCTCCCTGGGGTACACACTGCCGCTGGGGAGGAAGGACGACACCTTTGGCTCCCTGGGACTCACACTGCCGCTGGGGAGGAAGGACAACACCTTTGGCTCCCTGGGACTCACACTGCTGCTGGGGAGGAAGGACAAGTCAATGAATTATGTAAACGCCGGGGTCACGTGAGTGACCCGGCGTTAAAGAAACAGTACCACAATCACAGTGGGAGGTATAGATATCCCCCATGTGTGATTGTTAATTCTGATTGGAAGTTATCCAATCAGAATTAAACCAAGGGTATTTATACTTACCTTTCCTGTCCCTCAGTGCCCTGTTGTGGTCTTGTGATACCTGTAGCGTAGTGTTCTCGTCTTGCTCTCTGGTTACCGATTATTTGGCTCATTATTCCGATTATCCTGTCTTCTCCACTCCTTTGACCTCGGCTTGTTTCTCGTTCTCCTGTTTTCTGGCTCCCTTTACTTGGCTTGTCTCCTGACTATTCTTAGCGTGCTTAGCCCGGCCACTCTAAGGTCCGGTACGGCACCTTTTCTGTGTGTGTGTGTGTGTGTGCCAGCGTGTTGGGTTCCCCGGAATCGTGACATTACAACAGGGCCATCATGGAACCTGCTGACATTCCACAGCTGTTAGTGAATCAGGAGGCTAGAATGGATGGTTTAGACCACCGTATGGATCAGTTTGCCCAGGCTTTACAAACCATACTGGTTCGTACTGCCCACTTGCAACTTGCCGTCCAAGAAGCCATTGCTGCTGTGCCAGAACCCATTCCTGATCCAGTACCCGCTCCTGCTCATGTGGTTCACATGACGCCACCTCAGCGCTATAGTGGTGATCCAGCATTGTGCCGTGGTTTCCTCAACCAAATTGATATTCATTTGGTGATGAATCCTCGTTCCTACCCCACTGACAGAACCAAAATTGCTTTTTTGATTAACCATTTGTCCGGAAAAGCTCTAGCATGGGCTTAGCCCATGTGGGAGAATACGTCCCCAATGTCCTTTTCAGACTTCTGCAGCAGACACCACAATCACCGAACCAGAGAAGCGTATACCTTCTCTCAAGCATATGAATTCTGTAGACAGTTGAATAGGAACCATACGAATAGGTTTACTCTCCTAAAACAGGAACTCCCTGTACTGTCACATACAGTCTCTTTTATTCCCAATTCACAAACATAGTACAGCCCACAGGGCGTTACAAAACAACCAATCAATCCGTACAATACACCCAGACACTCCCACACAAAATCCTCCCCTCTGCCTGTGATATGATCACTGAACACAATGGGTAATCTCATTATCACCGGCAGAGGAATACAGTTTTTACACAATATTTATAACTTCTAAAATATACATGTCACAAACATAAAACATACATTTTCATAATCAATCCATTCAGTGGAACAACATATTAAAAAATGGCACGAATCAGACCAGGGGTTCAAAAGTTAAGGGAAAGTCCTTTGTGACTAAATGAAGCATGGCTTTCCGGCCCAAACCAGTTTCAGAGTCTTCTATCCTGGAGATTGAATTGAGAAGTAATTCAATTATCTCCCAGGACAGACACAAGACTCCATTATGCACATGGTGAGCACAAAGCATTAAAATATTATAAAATACACAAAGTCACATTTTATACATAAAACACAGACATGTCACATATCCCCAGATAGCTGGGATCTGAGCGCACAAAACTACAGAATAGCGCTCAGACCCTCTGCACACAGTTCAATTGCCATGGAGCAATTTAACTACACCAATGGGCTACATGGCATAGCTATCTGGGTTAACACATTCACATAAAGTCTGGTCCATAGTCCAAAGGCAAGAGGCGGGCAAGCAGCCCCCTCCAAGGAAATGTGGCGAGGCCGGTTTTGCCACAATAAGGCATTAAAAAAAAATAGGGGGGGGGGGCGTGGTCTGACGCTGGACTGAGATGGCTGCCTAACTCTGTGGCTCCGTCCCTCGATGCCCTAATTAAACTACAAAAAGCAGTATATATGGCTTTCATGGGTCGCACGAAACGCACCCAGATGACACCCTCAACCCCTAGAGCCTAGGGGGAGGCCCCCTCAGCATCTATCAGGGGTTACATCCAAACGCCAGTGGTCTTAGCGGCTCGCCTCGAGGCCTCAAACATGGCGCCGACCTCACCAGGCTCCACAATATCGGTGGTAGAATCTACACCAGACCAAGAGGGGCTGTTAACCTCTCCAACCCCAGACTTGTACACGCTCTTTGCCTCCCTGCCTAAGAAAGAAGACTTCCAAAAGCTGGTAGAAGAGGTGAAAGGCACGTTACAGACCGAAATCGCATCGGTCTGCACCTCGATGACATCTCTGGAAGCAAGAATCAGCTCCCTGGAGGAGAGAGACTCCTGTGCAGTAGGCCCAAACCCATCCGCTATCCAACAACACGCAGCACAGATTGCAGATATGCGACTACATATCGAAGACTTCGACAACAGAAGCAGAAGACATAACATACGGGTGCGGGGTCTACGGGAAACCCCAGATCAGTAGAATCTTGAATCGACAATCACCCGCCTTTTACATGATCCTGGGCCACCCACCAGAGGCCAGAATAGCAATGGACAGGGCCCACCGGGCACTGCGCCCGCGCCCACCACCCGACGCCCTGCCAAGAGACATCATCTGCTGCATCCAAGATTATCAACTGAAAGCCGACATAATGCTGAAGGCGAGGGCAGAACGGGCATGGCGATTCGAGGGCCATCTGGTGGAGTTGTACAATGATCTGTCGCACCTAACGCTGCAATCAAGAAGAGCACTGAGACCTGTCACGATGGCGCTGCAGCAGGAGCG